ACGCAGTCATAGGGAGCGGCATCCTCCCAAACATCTTGATATATATGAGACTGACCTCAACTCGGCGTCTCACGTTCGGTATCCCATTTCGCATCATGTTTCTTATGAGCGCGTCACCCCAGCCTACCAAGCTTTTCTGGCTTCTGTTGATCGGATCCCAGAGCCGCGCACCTTTCAAGAGGCTGTTCGTCACGCTCACTGGCGAGAGGCCATGGCTAAAGAGATTGCAGCTCTCATGGCCAATGGCACGTGGCGTTTAGAGCACCTCCCTCCAGGTAAGCGTTGTATTGATTCGAAATGGGTGTTTAAAGTTAAATATTATCCTGATGGGACAGTTGAGCGATACAAAGCTCGTTTGGTCGCTAAAGGTTATACCCAGATCGAGGGTGTAGACTTTCATGATACCTTTGCACCCGTTGCAAAGTTGGTCACGGTCCGTTGTTTGTTGGCCGTAGCAGTCAGTCAGGGATGGTATCTACATCAACTTGACGTCAATAATGCTTTTCTGCATGGGGATTTGTCTGAAGAAGTTTATATGAAAGTTCCTCCTGGTTTTGGTGTTGAAGGAGATTCTCGTGTCTGTCGGTTGCAAAAATCTATCTATGGATTGCGACAGGCATCCCGGAACTGGTATCAGAAGTTCACTGTTTCGCTCGGTGATCTTGGATTTCGTGCCTCACCTGCCGATCATTCCCTTTTTATTTATAGGAAGGGCTCTACTTTTGTTGCTGCACTCATATACGTTGATGACGTTATTTTGGCAGGTAACGACATGGATTTCATCAACCATGTGAAGAAGGTTTTGGATCATAAGTTCAGCATCAAAGATCTTGGGGTACTTCGTTATTTCTTGGGTCTTGAAGTAGCGCGTGCACCTCAAGGAATGGTCATTAGTCAGCGGAAGTATGTCATGGACATTCTCTCCGAGGCTGGGGTACTTGGGTCTCGACCGAGTGCTTTTCCGGTCGAACAAAATCATCAGCTTACCAAGCCATCGTCAGACTCTCTTGTGGATGGGTCTTCTTATCGTCGACTTGTTGGTCGTCTTCTCTATCTGACAGTATCGCGTCCCGATATTGCTTATGGTGTCAACATTTTGAGTCGTTTTGTTCATGCTCCTACTCAGGCTCATATGGATGCAGCTATGCGTATTTTGAGATATCTCAAGACCTCTCCGGGTCAAGGTCTATATTTTCCCACTAATAACTCTCTTGAGTTGGTGGCGCATTGTGATGCTGACTGGGGTGGCTGCCAGTCCACCCGGCGATCTACCACAGGTTTCTATATTTCTCTTGGTTCGGCCCCGATTTCTTGGCGCACTAAACGCCAAAAGGTGGTAGCTCGTTCTTCTGCAGAAGCTGAATATCGTGCCATGGCTAGCACGGTCAGTGAACTGATTTGGCTGCGTTGGTTACTACATGAGCTTGGTATTCCTCAGTCTCGTCCTACTCGTCTTTATTGTGATAACCAAGCTGCACTTCATATTGCGGCTAATCCTGTTTTCCACGAGCGCACTAAACATGTTGAGATGGATTGCTATTTTGTCCGTGAACGAGTGGTTTCTGGTGATATCGTTCCTCTTAAGGTCAGTTCGGAGCATCAGGTGGCTGATCTTTTTACAAAGGGCCTTGGTGCAGATCGTTTTCGCTTCTTACTGTCCAAGCTGAACGTTCGTGACCTTCACCGTCCAGCTTGCGGGGGCGTATTGGGCCGAGAAGAGCAGCAGCCCGGCCGAGAAGAGCAGCAGCCCACGGCCCAGGCGCAGTCGAACTTCTCCTCTACGTGCACGACAAGGAAATCTTCCTTCATTCATGTAAACGTAGGGCAGAAGGAGAACAATATATATAATGATCCTGTAGGCCTTTCGGCCAGTGTGTAATTGTCGACAATCATAATAAGATCAAAGCTGGAGAGGCTCAACTCTCCCGTGGATTAGTCCTGACAAATCGTCAGGGATACCACGTAAAACTCGTGTTTGTCTCGTGTTATTCTCGATTTTACAGAGAAGGAGAAGGAAATGAAGACGCCCTGATCTCATCCCCGTGGGGTCAAGCTTCGGTGGGTGAGTCCTCATTCTTCCCTATCTATGTACTTATGCTCGAGATCTTTCTATGTGTATCTCAAGTTGTTCTTCTTTCATGATGTAATTTTATTTGACCAGTTCATTGCTACGTTGTTGGATGCTAAGATGTTTGAATGTGAATGGAATTGTGGTTAGGTTTGTGGATGTGAATTCTGGTGTTGTTTGGTTGAAATTAGAGAATTAGTATGGATTGGTTTGGTATGATGTGGGCTCTGGATAGTATATAACACTGTGATGGAGACCAGAGCAGAGTCCCGCAGCATCCACGTGAAAGGTATAGTAATGGTGGAATCCTTCCCTCATGGTTTGCACTGTCTATCTCTGCTTCATCTCGATTGAGTCAAAAGAATTAGGTAGTCAGAAAATAGGAATTGAGTAGCTCGCCGGGCTTGGGTTGTGCTTGCCTCGGCTTAATTTTGTTCAATTAGATGACGATTTGAGTTGTTTGGCATAATCTGGATTTCTTACATTCGATAAGCCTGAAAGACTGCTTGCTGAAGCAGCTGGGTTGAGGCAAAAAGAAGCAACTCTCATTTACTTTCATGGAATCACAACAACAGCAACTCTTACTTAGTTACTTTCATGGCTGTGTTTTTGACAGGAAATTGGAGCACAAAGTGTCGTTCAAGCTCATACAAGGTTGGTGAAGGAGGATTCATGATCGTTTTATGAATTTTAGGGTGTTCAAACAAATTGATGGTCTGCTATTTGTTGCAGAGATACAGACAGCTGCAAGTGAAGAAGCCTCAAAGGATGGTGTTGGCGTTGAACATTTCCTCTTACATGATTTTCGGTCATTTACCAGCCCCACTTACCACCTGTTGTGGCTTGCCTTGGACATTGAAGATGAGCAGAGGCAAACTTCAATGGAACACCAACTGTTTGACTCTTTCCTGACAAGTGGTGCCAGATTCCCCACATACATAGTGAGTCACATCCTATTTTACTCTTACTTGAGGGTTCTGGCTTGCTTTTATACTTTAGAGAATGGACATAGAACACAATTTGACATTTTTACTATGTTTGTTATTACATTGACAAAATTTAATTACAGAATCGAACAACTACCGAGTTTGAGCCTTTCATAATTGTTGCTTATGCTTTCACATTGACCAAATATATTTGTGTTTCTTTTAAACTTACAACGTTCATTCATTCCTGACCACCATAGGCAAGCAAAAACTCTGATTCAAACCGCACCGACCATAAACATATGCCATGTTTGTTTCGATTCGTAAGCTCAAAGATGAGCAATACAGAACACACATTTATCTTACTGCAGTTTGACCCTACTTTCCTCCATTTCCCTCTACTGTTCTTTCCTTGCCTCAATATGATCACCTGCAACTTCGATATTTCGATTCCTTCCCTCCAGTCTCTTTGCCACCTTAATGGTCAGTCATGTTTTATTCATGTTCATCATTCCCTTATTGTGATGTCTTTGCCTATGAAAGTAGGTAGTTTCTCATTATAACCTTTAATTGGTGTCCTACAAAGTAGGTGGTTATGACGGATAATGACTTCATGCACACTACTGCTGCTGCACCTGACGGATTATGACCGATAATGTCTTCCAGTCCCGTAATCATTTTCCTCTGGTGCATCTATTGCTGTTGCACCTGAAGTTGGCCATGATGTTGTTTGTTAACCACTTGACCAGCCAAGTGCATGTTGTTCATATTCTGACCCATAGTAGCTTTCAAATGGGAGAGTGGGTTCAATGGAAGGCCTTATTGGTTGTCCTCTGAAGCTGTTGTTGGTGCATTTCAGTTTTGTTGTTGTTACTGCTGAATGGATAATTGAGGGTCAAGTTGCTGCTTCATTATATTGTTGTTGCTGCTGCATCTTCAGCTTTGATTTGTTGCCAATCAGAATTGGTAACTGGCTTTCCCTCATTGTCATTGTAATGTCCCCCGAAGGATTATGCCCCTTGGATGCTATCTAATTTATTTAATGATCTCGAGGCTCTAATATTAGATTAGTATGCTTCAATTGATGGCATCTATTATATGTCTTGGTTAAAATGTTGCATTACACCATAAGTTGCTGAATTGATGCCATCGATTCATTCATGACATTATTTGACTATTTGTTGAAAAAATGCAGATATTTCTTCCGCTGCACTTCTGGGAGGAAGGAAACATGCAACATGGAATCACATGACTACATAAAATATTGTTATACAAACATTGTGATGGTAATGCATTTTGCCTTAAGACCACAATTACAAACCTGGGGTGGTTTTGCATAACCATTGTCATGAAGGAGACCATTAATTGATTGAGTTAGTTGATGGACACATTCTCTAAATTGTCATGCCTCCTCACTACTGATGAGAAAATAATATTGCTGTAACTGAAGTCCCCGCGGCGTAGCCGTGGGTATTGATTCTAGTCAAAATGAAAGTTACAAGATGATGATTTCTCAATAAGAAACCAGTATCTGACCTCAAATGGAAGGAGATCCACCCTTTTCGTATAAGAAATCAACACATTGAGGGTCCAAGAAGTACAGATTCCCTTTAGCCCTCGTGATAATTTTTATCTCCGCAGAAGTACAGCAAGAACACAAGAGCAAAAGAATATGCAGGGAAATGCATCATCCAAAGCCCTTTTAATCAAGAAAAATGTAGACATCCCACAAATTAAAAAGCATAAACATAGTTACAGGAAGTACATAGTTGTAGCAAGCAGCAATTAAATTCATAACTTACAGACAATGTTCCTAAGAACCAAAGAAACAAAAGATTCACAGCAGTATTCAATATGGACCTGAAAATGTATAATTATCCTTGTGAGGCCAATTCCATCAGCAAGTCAGTGAAACAACATCGTATAGAAGTAGCTAGTCTGAAATGAAACCCAATTTAAAGAACTCTAGGCAAAAGCAAATAATTGTATATGGAAATCCAGACCTAACAGGAAGTAGAGAAGAGGGAGATCCCAATGTATCCGACTTTGATATGCACCTTTAAATCCCTCAATATAACCCGCTCACTCAACAGGGAAAAAGAACCAATTCAGCATCCTTATTCAAGTCTGGCCTTGGTTTTTATCCCAAAATGAAACAAAATAGCCTATGAAAGACAACACGTGGCCTACCAAACATAATCGCGCACAAATACTTGCCCTTGAACTTGTGAAATGAGATTGACAACAAGAGAGAGGATTCAAATAGCAACATGAGAGACCAAAATTATTCACAAAGTAATCAATAAATGTAAAAGAATAATGAAAGCAGACCATACCTGAATGGTTCCTAGCTTGGTTTTCAGTAACAGCTACAACAGCCTGTTGAAGAGTCTCCGAGATTATCTTCACCTCCTTCCAAACAACAGCATTAAGAAAGTTAAGAAGCACACATAATAATGTTGTACATAAAGAATGGTCAACAATCTGCCACCACCCAAACAGATTAAATATTTTCAGTTTATGTCAAATTCAATATTAATCCATCAATTCCTGAAGAATGGATTTCATAAAGCTGCATGAGGAAGGAGGTAAGAGGGGGACCTTATCTGTCTGTTCTTGCTTGTCATAGTTCTGATTGCTTGACATCCATGTCCATGACAACTGCGTAATTTGTTGGTTCAGACCTGCAAACAGATGGCAAATAGTTGTGAGAAGGGAGATGTTAACAGAGCAGTAAGGATATCAAGCACTGAAAACAGAGAAGTCAGTAAATACTAAATAGTCCCAGCCCTAACGAAGTAACGGTACAATTGTTGATGGTGAGGGTGTGGTTATCATTCAGTCATCTATACATCTGAGAAATAAAGCAGAAGGAACAATTGATGACAGAAAGAGCTGTGGGTGGGGGGGGGGGGGGGGGGGGAATGTTTGGTTTCAAAAGAAGGAACCGTATGGAAGAAATTGGAAACAAAGGACCAAGAGACCTGTGTTGGCAACAGTAACCCAAAGGAATGTGAATAGCCTTTGCAATTCTGAAAGTGGATCGATGCTTTGGGGAAGATATCAGGCGCTCAAAGAGGTTTCATGTTGTATAACTAACTTGGAAAGAGGTAAACATAAGTGGGAGCATACCATGTTATAGAAAGTGGGTTAGCAAGAGCTGAACTTCGAGGTCAAGCTCGTTTTGTTGGTGAAGGGAAAGATATACAGTGGCCTTCTCCTTTATGCATATGAGATCAAAGGATATTAGATAAGAACATAAAAGACAGCCAAATGTGTATAAATTAAAGCATAACTGGGCAAGCACGGAGTAATCAAGAAGCTAAATTTAATGCAGGAACAAATCTTATTGTACAACCTGGAGTAGTCGAAGGTGAACCTGCTGCCGCTGCTGCATTGAACCCTATGAAGCCAACCTGACCTGGGATGATGATCATAAGAGCCACAAAAAAAAAAAAAAAAAAAAAAAAAAATTTAAGAGAATGGCATCAGCATTCAATATTTGAAACAAAAATGCATGACCATCCTTGTGAAATCACTTACGTTATATACACATATGAAACTGTTCAACAACTAGGACATAGTTAATTCCACAATCAACCTGAATAAATAAACTCAAACGGAGATCATGGCCATTGCTGCAAGAGTTGGCGGAAGATAGATTATGACCTAGCTGCTATAAATTTTCCCAAACCCAGTAAATTCATTTGCTCTAATAGACTGAATTCCTAATCTGCATATGAAAAAGGAAGGGATTGCAAGAATTAGCTTATTCTAGTAAAAGAAACCCAAATATGCAACTAAGTTTCATTTTGGTTTTAACTACTCTTCTAATGAATTGATGCGGCATACCCTCACAATTTGACACTACTCAAACACTAAATAACACAGAATAGATGAAAAAATAAAGAGCGTGAAACTCAAATAAAGCATATGATCCTCAAAAGGGTAATGTGCAAGCCTTTGTAGATGAATCATAATCAAAAAGGGGGAAAATTCAACGATGGATGCTGGTATTACAACTTATCATTGCCATGGGATTTATATGGTTAAAATGAAGCACATTCAATCTCCTAAGAATCTAATGGAAGATATTAAGAAACACAAACACATATCAAATCACCTAACTTCATGTTGTCTAACTCAGAAGCTATATGGAGTACCCTGTTTTACTTGGATCTTCATGACACAACAAAAACTACAATATCCCGTAAGATTCAGATTCTTTGTGTCAACCAAAAGCAACTCTGTTGTAACCATGAAAGGAAGGAATGCTAGACTATAATGTAAGATAATAGAAACGTTACTGATGAGAAGCTGTTAGGTTTCCAAGGCTCCGTAAGTATGAGGAATGCCTGTAGGATGTACAGATATAGGCTAGTTATTCTGATACTCTTTTTACCCTGGATAACACATGAAGACAGCACCTTCAGCCAGAGGTATGACCAAATAAACTCTGCAGAAGTGGTGTCTGATCAAATGAACTGTGCAGAAGAGCTGTAACTTGGCAGACTAACCAAATCTAAGGCAGTCGGTTCATCCTTCATGGCATTATAATCTGAATAAAATGGTGTCATTCCATACACAATTGGCAATACACAAAAGCAAGCAGGAATGAGACAGCATAGCATGAGTAATTGGACCACCAAACAGATGACATTAAGTAACCTCCATGTTGTCTGAAACAAGTCCCTCCTTTACCTTGTTCAAAATCATGCGAAATAAGCGAAGGTAGATTCAATTGCACACAAAACCAATGAGAAAGAAGGGAAAAGTGGAGAAACAGCATCTTTCTAAACCAAATCAGGAGGAGCAAAAATGGAGGCATCGGCTTCTATTAATCTTAATCGCGGAGATGGATCACCATCTCAAAATGATAGGAGCGAATATGAATCTAGTCGAGACAACTGCCAAAAGGCAGCTGCAGTCAAATAGCAAACGTGGTTTAAAATCATACGTCTTATAACTATAGCTATATAGAAGAACCACTACAGTGTGTGTGGGAAGAATCATTAGTAACAGACATGAAAGCCTCTCATAGTGGCCCTTTCACCATCAGCCTAATGATATCTCAGAGAGGCCGACCGACTGCAATATTGAGTTCTAGTCATATATCTGTAAACACCTCAAAGGTAATAGAAATGCAGCTACTTGGTTCCAAACTGAGTTCCAATCTCAACCTCGCTCAGGTGTTTTGACTTCGATACCACTTCATATTTATCATCTGTTGTTGGATGCTGCTATTTTTGGCCTTCAGGCCCATGGATTCATCAACTACATAAGCCACCAAGTTTATTGTACAAAAAGAGAAGAAAAATTGTGAACCATTCCAAATATATCATTTCCTGAAACTCATATCGTTTAACAAATCCTTGGAACTTAAACTTAACTTTCTTAAATTAAAATTCGACCAAAATTCAAAAACCATTCAAGCTCATTGGATTGTGACCCCCATTTTCCTCAGTCCATCCGTCTGTTGGTTGTTCCTTCTCCGGCCGTCGCAGAAACTTGGGCCGAGGACATCCATCCACATTCATCCACCCACTGGTCAAAACAAATCAAAATGACAAGAACTCGCCCGTGATGAGGAGGAAGTAATGCTAATTAAATATATTCATCTTCCAAATCCATTTGAATTGGTGTGCTAATTGGATCTTATAAAAGTACAATCCACTATCTGCAATTATTTGAAGTAATAAATAACAAAAGGATAAAGCTGAAAAACAATAATCCCACCAATAAGACGTAGAGTCTTTACAATATTTAAGATTCAATCTCTCTCTTAGATTTTAACGATTTAAATATCTGGACCTAACATCAACAATATAAAATGCAGTAAAACAAACACAACTTTCTCCTAAACGTAGATTTCATGCTGCAAATCGTATTCTCCAAATAAACCCTAACTAGTGGAAGTTATGTTTTTAGACTCACCACTATCTGTTCACTCACATTGATGGTTCTAAAGTTCAGGGTGCTAAATAACTAAAACATACATGGACAAGATTGCTTTCTGAAACCCATCAATATCTAATTTTATAATTTATAGATATATATGTACAAGCAGAGAAGTTAATTAACAATTGATTACCAACCGTTGAGTGAGGGAGCTGTTGCTGCACTGCTGTTTTGAAACCAAGCCCTGTAGCTTCTGTCGCACAGGCCTCGCAGCTCTTCGTACCTTGGAATTAGAGTCAGTCAGCAAGAGACTCTTGGTTGGAACACCATGCTGAATGCTGCACTGCTCGTTATTGAAGGAGGAAGTTGGCTGATCACCGCTCTTGTGATTGCCTCGCGCCTTCTCGAATTCTGGAATTGGAGTAAACCAGCTAGAAGCCCTCGGATTGAACACCATAAAGTGAGAGGCTTCCGGTCTCTCTTCTAGTTTAGTGAAGAGCTCTAGCTCTCCCCTTCTCAAATCACAGCAAAATACAACATTGCCATAGCTATAGCTGTCAAGCCAATTGAAGAAGACGATTTCTGGCTTCTGTGGATGCAGAAAAGGTTGATAAAAGCCCCGAACTTGATAGTTACCACACTTTGTTTTCAGGTTCACCACCAGCCCCTCGCATTGTTTTCTCCACGATTTACGGTCTTTTCCCAGCCTCCAGACGCTCAAATGAACAGGAACACGTTTATTTTCTTGTACAACCAAGTGCAAGGCATCTTGACAGACGGTAGTAGTCCACTGAGGTTTTGCAAGGAATGCAGAAACATCAATGGAAGTGGGTGGCAAATCAAGGCGGAAAGGATTGAACACAGCCAGGGATTGATGAACATCCATGGGACGAGGTTCAAAATACGTCCAAAACAACTCCCCATTGCACGAAACTAGACTTTTTGTAGACAATCTGCTATGACTGTCACGGACAAGAGCATCCTTGGTCCAATTTCCAGACTCCGAACAGAACAAGTCTAATCTTATACTTGACGATGGAAAGGCCCGAACATACATACACACCGAACCCTAGATTCGCCGGTCGCTGCAAGGCCGTCTGCAGGCGGTGGAGCTCCCTGATTTTCAACAGCTGCTTCAATCGCCGCTTCATTTCTCACCACCGCGCGTAGCAGGAATGTCGTCGGCAGGGAATTTCCTCTGATGCACTCAAACTCCTGGAGCTCCAGTTTGAGCTTTCTCCCTGTGGATGCTCTTCTCCGACCGTATTTCCGGATTTACGACTCCTTTCGGGACTTGCTGCTATGTGTTGTGGCATAGCGGAAATATGTAGTGGTTTAGGATCGAAAATAGAGAAATTATTTCACTCTAATATTTTTATATATCTCTCATAATTAGGCAACTATTGCCTTTACAAAGAGCTCACAACATATATGTTATTATAGCTCTTCTGCTCTCTGATGCTTATATTGCCTCCAATTGAGACTATTTATACAGCCATTACAAAAGACTCCAAAGCCAATAAGTGAAGGTTCTAGTGGCTATTTATTTTGCCACCTTAGCTTGTCTGGTAACAAATCGAACTTGTGGCCATATCTTTTTTCTTTTGTTTAATTATTATGGTGGGTAGGTTTAGCATATGACTAGCTTTATTTCAATTATTTTAGTTTAATTATTGTAGGGTAGTTGGTTGATGGATGCTCATAATTCTAGAGCTTGTAGGGTAGCATGTTAATTGGCAGATTACTTTCATCACAGATTCACAATGCCGGCTCCGAACGTTTTCCATAATTAATCTGGCGGAACTGCGCAGATCATTCTTGGTCTGCAATCCTTTCACGAAGCAATGGATCGCCCTTCCTTTAGCGCTCGAGCTCGAAGAATCAAGTGGCTATCGGTCATCGGTTGCAAGGTTAGTCTGCGAACCGCGAATCCCCACTAGAAACAATCTTTGATCTAGATGATGATGACGACAACGATGGTCATTATTATGAAAATGTGGTTGCTTATTCTGAGGTCCGATTCCGGGTGGTACATATGTATGAATCGAGGGCATCCGTCAAAAAATTGACGTGTTTTGCTCCGAGTCCGGAGAATCGAAAAGAGAGGCTCTTGTTCTTGATGGTCGGTTCAAAGGCTTCTCGAATGTAGTTTCGTGCAATGGGAAGTTGTATTGGAGGTATTACGCGGGACGTAGTTACGAAATTGTTGCCTTCAATCCTTTCCATCCGGATACACCTCCGAAAATTATCGATGTTTTTGATCATTCAAGTTCCAGGATGTTGAATCTTTTGGTCTCGCGAGGTCTCCTGCATCGCGATAGTATCTGAAATGAAGCGTACAACGCAGCTTTGCGTAAGCGTTTGCAGACTTGAAGACGATGGGAAATCATGGAGCAAGCAATGCGAATCAATGTTGAGGAAATCAAGGTGTGATTACTATTTTAAAGAGATCGTAACACGGAGTATACTGGGTCTACATCCACAGGATTCGGAAAACCATCTTCTTCAAGGATCTTGGGCCGTCTGGTGGTCCTATACATTCTTACATTATTTTCACAGGTAAATTATATTATTAAGCTTACTGAGTTTGTTTCTGTTTTCGGAACTGGACTAAAGACTGAAACGAAAAAGTTAATGGTTCATCGGTTAACCGTTATAAAATCGTTGGTGAACCGTTGATAAAACTGTTTATACGCTATAACATAAAAGACATCTATAATTCATAAGTTTAGGACTAAACTTATCAAACAATCATTAATATCTTCATATCCATATCATCCATCATGAAAAGTATAAATATTTCGTTAAAACTATCTCACAAAAGAATTGATAATTTTTTATTATCTAATTCGAGTTAGTAATCAGGGTGGCAATCCATAGACCACATAAAAGCGAGAAAGAGGCTGAAAAATTAAGAAGATGAAGCGTAAATAAAATTAGTAATTGACGTGGAATGCTTGCAACTGTAATTGCATTGCTGTAGGCCTCAATTGCACTTTTGCAATCTTGCATATAATGCAAGTGGAAGTGAAAGCCAACATGGCTATTTTTATGGGAAGGACCGATTGTTTTCTTCTTCTTTTATTTTTTTTTTCTTTTTTTTTTACCTTTATATGTGGAATTAAATCACATATGCAATTGCAAATGAATTGCATTGATGTAGGTATAATAAAAGTAAAATGAGATGGATTGCAAAAATTTTGAGTTGGCAAAAAAAATAACAAATGCAATTGAGTTTACAATTGCATTGATGGAGATGCTCTTGGTTTATGTGAAAGAAAAAATTTATTTTATTTTTGTTATTGAACTAGTGAGTCGGTTGACCAAGTTCCAATCTCAACCTCGCTCAGGTATTTTGACTTCGATACCACTTCATATTTATCATCTGTTGTTGGATGCTGCTATTTTTGGCCTTCAGGCCCATTGATTCATCAACTACATAAGCCACCAAGTGTATTGTACAAAAAGAGACAGAAAAATTGTGAACCATTCCAAATATATCATTTCCTGAAACTCATATCGTTTAACAAATCCTTGGAATTAGAGTCAGTCAGCAAGAAGAGACTCTTGGTTGGAACTTGGAACACCATGCCGAATGCTGCACTGCTCGTTATTGAAGGAGGAAGTTGGCTGATCACCGCTCTTTTGCTTGCCTCGTGCCTCGTCGAAATCTGGAATTGGAGTAAACCAGCTAGAAGCCCTCGGATTGAACAACATAAAGTGAGAGGCTTCCGGTCTCTCTTCTAGTTTAGTGAAGAGCTCTAGCTCTCCCCTTCTCAAATCACAGCACAATACAACATTGCCAAATTTATAGCTGTCAAGCCAATTGAAGAAGACGATTTCTGGCTTCTGTGGATGCAGAAAAGGTTGATAAAAGCCCCGAACTTCATAGTTACCACACTTTGTCTTCAGCTTCACCAGCCCCTCGCATTGTTTTCTCCACGATTTACGGTCTTTTCCCAGCCTCCAGACGCTCAAACGAACAGGAACACATTTATTTTCTTGTACAACCAAGTGCAAGGCATCTTGACAGACGGTACTAGTCCACTGAGGCTTTGCAAGGAATGCAGAAACATCAATGGAAGTGGGTGGCAAATCAAGGCGGAAAGGATTGAACACAGCCAGGGATTGATGAACATCCATGGGACGAGGTTCAAAATACGTCCAAAACAACTCCCCATTGCACGAAACTAGACTTTTTGTAGACAATCTGCTATGACTGTCACGGACAAGAGCATCCTTGGTCCAATTTCCAGACTCCGAACAGAACAAGTCTAATCTTATACTTGACGATGGAAAGGCCCGAACAACATACATACACACCACCCGGAACCGATATCCAGAAGGTTCACAAACTAACCTTGAAACCGAGGAGTGATAGGCCGCTAACTTCCTGGGCGCCAACGGAAGAGCATTCCACTGCTTGGTGAACGGATTGCAGACCAAGTATGCCCTGCCGTGCTTCTTGTCCATGTTCTCTGTATCCCAAAACCCGCATAGAACCAAGTCCCTGTCGCAATCCAAGACTTTGAGAGCGTCTCGGTCTTCAACTCCATTGGGCATGGGTGGGATGAAGCTGAGGACCATCAATTTGAGGTCGTTCGGACTCATGGTCTGGAGGCGAGAAACCAAAAGGCGATTGAAGGAGGCGGCGGAGATGACGGACCTCCACAGCTGGCAGACGAGCTTGCAGCGGCAGGCGATTCTAGGATGGAGGCGAAACAGAATCTCTACGAGAAGATCGTCCCCGAGGTTGTTGATCCTTGCATCTGAACTGATGATTCGTCGTCGCTTCCTACCCAGCGGACGATCAGAATCAGAATTGCGGCATCTCTCGGCGGCCATGGTGTATACAGACGGATTGGAAGACTATTAAGGCACGCCGCCGACGACGACCGAGGAGAAAGGATTCGGTGGTAGGCGGAGAGAAGGCAGGCCGGAGCGCGAAGAGATCTGAAATTCCCCCTTCTTCCCTTTTTGAGGGTTCACGAAACCGACCCCGACTGTTTCTCCTTCTCTCCTACGGAAACGGCGGGCTTGGTAAGTCGGCAATACAAATGGGCCTTCCCGCCTTGGGCTTCTAAAATATAACATTCGGGATAGAATTCGAATTAGTCAATGGCGCTTTTTTTTTTTTTTATGTAATCCGCCTGTATTTCAATTAAGAAGAGTTATTTGTACTAATCCCCAATCCCTGTTTAGATTCAATGGAATGTTTACCTAGACCCATAATTACTAATCATTTTGTTCCAAGGTTGTGAAACCGGTTTATGTCAGTGTGTCGGTTTAGCAAGTGGAATTGTTTGACCGGTGGCACATATCGGTTTGTGCCGGTTCATGCCGATCAATATTACAAATAAAATTATAAATACTCATATTTATTTAAACATGACATTTAATGTCAATACTTAAACATTTATACTTGAATCCAACAAATAACATCAATATTTAACTTTTATACTCATAAAATAAATAATAAAATTATTTTTATCAATTAAATTCACTAAAATAAGGTCATTTTACTTAGAGATTCGTATATCGATCATGCCGGTCATACCGGTGGTGTCACGCCGGTTTTATGACCGGTATCGGTTGAATCAGGTTCAACCGGTGGCACGCCGGCCGGCGTGACAACCATTGATTCTCATTGGTTGTTGCTTTTGCGGTGGGCTCTCTCTCTCTCTGTTGCTTATTTTCTCTGCCACGAAAAGCGCGTCGGCCTCAAATGGGTGACTCTCTCCAAGATAGAGGCTGAATATTTTACGTCGTTTTAGGCGAGGAGGGAGGAGAATCTTTTTTGCCGCCAAATCAGAAAATTTTGGCAATGGTTCGAGAAAAGAGAGAGGAGCAGAGGAGACTGGGAGTGGTTCGAGAGAAGCAGAGAGAGGAGCAGAAAATTTTGGTGGTTCTACAAGTTCGACCGATGATCCGTTTCGATTCTTATAACAATGTTTTTGTGTTGGGTATCGGATTAAAATCTGAAATTCTATCGGCGTCCGGACCGGAGTTCCAGTTTCTCTTGGAAGGGAAAAGTTGGAGCTCGATTCTCCAAGACCAAGAGTGAGATCATCATGGAGGTAAAATAAGGCGGGAACATATTACCCGGGGAGAAAGAACTGTCTTTGGGCCGGAAGGGATTGGACTGTGGGCCTCTTCTTTTGGGCCGAAGGACAAATTACCATAAGAAGATATTAGCTTCGCAATTACCGTAAGCTTAGGGTTTCATCCCAAACCAAGACATATTATATTAACTGAGATTATGTCAAACAAAAGATCGGACAATAATGCCGCCGCCGATCAACCGGCGGCGATGCTAACCCTAACCCTAACCCTGTCCAGCACAAAACTCCCGGCCGACATCGTGATCGAAATCTTCAAGAAGCTTCCCGCGGCCTTGGCCCTTGCCCGGCTCCGCTGCGTATGCAAATCATGGCGCGCTCTTCTCTCCGACCGGGCTTTTCTCCGCCAGATCCTCGTCATGGACAGCGATCGCGATGGAAGCCGTCAGATCATGATCTTCCGCCTGACCGACGATCAAAAGCCGCTCTTCTCTCCCTGCTCGTACGACACTCTTCGCCCATTATCCGTCGACCCACCGCAACCGGTCCTCCTGATCTCCACCGCCGGCGAGGACATGCGGTACAATAAATGTCACGTTGTGGGGTACGACAACGGCATCTTTTGTTTGGGGGACGGGATAGACGAGCCCGGCGGTAAGAATATCTTAACCATCACGATTTTAGGTCAAATAGTTTGAGGATGGTCACTATATGTTTGCTCATTTTTATTTCATGTTTGAGATTACTAGTACTTAGGTTGATGTGGCTCATTGTTTGGATAGGAAAAAGACTCATCTATGACAATCTAATCGTCAATTCACGAAGCTAGTTCGTTATTAAAAGAGCTCACTCGCGAGTTGTTTGATAGTGTGTATGTTATTGAAAAATTTCTCATGTTTTTGGCTTTTTTGACACTAGGATTCTAATATTAATATCTTCGAGCCAAAATAGTTTCAACCAAGTCTAGCTTTTTGTGTTGCAAGGTTGTCAAACTGGTTTATATCGTTGTGCCGGTTTGATAAGTGGAATGGTACGACAGGTGGTATAACCAGTTTGTGCCGGTTCATGCCGATTTAAAAAAATGTGAAAACAATTAATATCCAATGTATTTAATCATATATAAAACATATTTGTTGATAATTTAGTTATAATCCAACAAATATCATCAATTTTTAACTATTACATTCGTGAAATGAATAATAAATTAATTTTTTTATTCAGTAAATTCATTAAAATGATGTCATTTTACTTAAAATGCATAAATTTATCATACCGGTTATACCGGTGGTGTCATGCCGGTTTCATGACTGACACAGGTTGAACCAGGTTCAACCGGGTGGTATGCCACCGGCATGACAACCATGTTGTGGTGTGATCATGTTGCTTGTATCGAGTTTAGCCGAAATAAAGGATGAGTGAGATTATTTTCAATCGAGCTAACATTTCATATACTCTATTTAAGTTCGAGCTGAACAAGTAATAAATAAGACGAAATCAAATCGAGGAATCATATCATTGCTTCTTCTTCTGGTATATAATCAATTTGAATGATAGTTAGGACACTAATTTTTTTCAGGTACCCATCTACACAACCCGGCGACCTCGGAGACCAAAGCATTACCGCCGTCGCCATTTACCTCGACGGAATATTGCGGCCGCTCTTGGGGCCACTTGTTCGGTTTCGACCGGAAAGCGAACGACTACAAGTTCATCAGGCTGAGAAAGGTCTTCTTCAACCACGAGTGGAAACGGGTTGAGAACGGCCAGAAGGACCGTGGCGTCAGTTTCGCCGAAGTGTACAGCTTGAGGAACGATTCTTGGAGCAAGGTGGAGACCGACGTCAACCTCTACCGGTTCTTGTACACAGCCAACTCGGTCCTCGAAAGCCACGACGGGAAGTGCTACCGTTGGGATCGAGAATATTGCAACGAAGAGAGGATGATGACGAGAGTCCTCTCTTTCGACTTAGCGAAGGAAGTGTTCGAGATGGTCGAGGTTTTGGATCCTTTGCCGGAGAAGTGTGTTGGGGATTTGCGGAAGTAATGGTAATTTAGAATCAACACAAAGGAAATAATTGGTGTTTAATCACTCAATTTAGGAAGCACTCACATAAGCCTTATACTTTGGCTATAATTGTGAACTCTCAAATTGTAGAGAACACGACAACTCTTTGTTGCCACTCTCTTTTTCCAATTCCCTGACAACTTCCATCCCATACAACATATATATAATTGGAAATGGAAAAACATAATATTAATACATCACATGGCTTCTTCTTTCATTTGCCATGCAGAGACAACACACCACTCTCACCATTAACCACCAATAATGAACCTTGGCCCATGCATTCATTTGAGCACACTAGCCTTGTCTCTTATCTTGTCCATCTGCTATGAATGTTGATTGATAATTAACTTAATTATTTGGTGGTTGTGCCTTCTCTTCATTTCAACTTTTAAGGCTTCATTTGATAATGGATCCATCAATGAACTTAGACATACCATGTGAGGTGCTTGAGATAGACTTGATTGCAAATTATCAATCAACACCCCCTCTTAATTTTCAATCTGGAGAAGCTTCTTGAACTTCTCGAACTTCTCACGAGTGACCGCCTTTGTCATGATATCGGCTGGCTGATCATCAGTGTTGATGAATTTCATCACGATTATTCCGTCGTTGACGAGGTCTCGGATGAAATGATAACGCAACTCGATATGCTTCGATCTTGCGTGAAATACTGGATTCTTTGTCATGGCTATGGCTGACATGTTGTCACAATGAATAATGGTTGGACCATTTTCATTTTGCTGCAAATCAGAAATTAATCTTTTTAGCCATACCGCTTCGCATGCTGCATCTGTAGCTGCGATATATTCTGCTTCCGCTGAAGATAGAGCAACAGTCTTTTGCTTCTTTGAACTCCAGGAAATGGGTTTTGAACCCAGGCAGAATATGTACCCCGATGTGCTTTTTCGATCATCTAGTGATCCTGCCCAGTCACTATCGGTAAATCCGGCAAGCTTGCTTTCTGCTTCTTTCTTGTACATCAGGCTCAATTTCTTTGTACCTTGAAGATACCGCAAAATTCTTTTGGCTGCTACAAAATGAAGTTTGCTAGGTTCATTCATAAATCTTGATATAAGACTTACTGAATGACATATATCTGGCCTGGTATGTGTCAGGTAAATGAGTGACCCGACAAGACTTCTGTACAGCTTTCCATCGACTTTTTCAGCTCCATCATTGCGTTGTAATTTCTCGTTTAACGCCATCGGTGTTGAGATTGGTTTGCACGCTGCCATGTGAAATCTTTTCAGCATATCTTCGATGTACTTCTCCTGTGAAATAAATATTTCTCCAGGTGACTGCTTCACTTGGATCCCAAGAAAATATTTCATGACTCCCAAGTCCGTCATCTCGAATTCTTTCATCATGGTGCTTTTGAATTCTTGGATCATATGTTGATTTGTACCTGTGTAAATCAAGTCATCAACATACAAGCAAACCATTAGAAAATCTTTTCCATCTCCCTTTTTGATGTAGAGAGATGCTTCACTCGGACTTCTTTGAAATCCGTTTTGCTGAAAATATCGATCAATTCTGCTGTTCCAGGCTCTCGGCGCTTGCTTTAGCCCGTATAAAGCCTTTCGAAGACGATAGACTTTGTCTTCTTCTCCTTTTTTCTCATAGCCTCGTGGTTGCTCCACATAGACTTCTTCTTCCAGTTCTCCGTTCAGAAATGCCGATTTGACATCCAGCTGGTATACTGGTAACTCCAGTTGAGCAGCTAGAGCGAGAACTGTTCTGATGGTCTCCATCCTCGCTACTGGTGCATATGTCTCGTGAAAATCAATACCGGGCTGTTGTGAATAACCCTTTGCCACCAGTCGAGCTTTGTACTTCTGGATAGTACCATCTTCGTTGAATTTGATTTTATAGATCCATTTGAGACCTATAACCGGCTTGCCCTCCGGTTGATCAACAAGCTCCCATGTCTTGTTTTTCTCGATCATGGAAATTTCTGCATCCATTGCCTCGTTCCAAATTTCTTCTTTGGATGCTTCTTCAAAGACTTGAGGCTCACAAGAAAAATATGCAACATGACTTGTTTCATAAATTTCTTGCAAAGACCTTGTTCTCAACGGAGGTGAATCCGAGTCTGTTACGACGTCTCTGAAGTTATCTCCTTCTGGGCTAGGTGCGAAATTTCTTTCTGGACTAGCAACTGGATCTGGGTCGTTGCTGGGGTCTTCTGGAGTTGCTGAGTCCTCCAGAATTTCATAACTTGGTGGAGATTGAGAAATTGGATTTTCCCAATTCCACTCCGCCATCTCATCAAAGATCACATCTCGGGAAACCACCACTTCGTTCTTTACTGGGTTGTAAAGACGATAGCCTTTGGATTCATCACTGTAGCCGGTGAAAATCAGCTTCTCACCCTTCTGGTCAAACTTGTCTCGGTTTGGGGTAGAAATATGTGCATAAGCTATGCACCCAAAGACTTTGAGGTGATCCACCTGTGGCCTCCTGTGGTGCCACGCATGTATCGGTGTCTTGTTCCGAACTGCTTTGGTTGGTGATCTATTGAGGATGTAAATTGTTGTATTGACCGCTTCTGCCCATAAGTTGTTGGGTAGCTTCTTTGCTTTGAGCATACTTCTCGCCATCTCCACAATCGTGCGATTTTTCCGTTCTGCCACACCATTTTGTTGTGGTGTGTAACGGACTGTCAGCTGCCTTTTTATCCCGTTGTTGCGGCAATACTCCATGAACGGAGTATAAATAAATTCTCCTCCACGATCTGTACGAAGAGTTTTGATTTGATGGCCGCTTTCCTTCTCAGCTACTGCTTGGAATTGAAGGAACTTGGGAAAAGCTTCTGACTTTTGCTCCAGAAAGAATACCCACATCATTCTGGTGAAGTCATCTACAAATAGTAGAAAGTATCTTTTACCGCTGAGTGATTGTGTTCGAGTTGGACCGCATATGTCTGCATGTACCAACTCCAGTGGCGCTTTTGCTCTCCAAGATGTCTTTGGAAATGGTAAACGATGCATTTTGCCATATATGCATCCTTCACAGATTTTGTCTTCTCTGTTGATCTGGGGAAGTCCCACCACCATATTTTTCTGCCTCAATAATTTGAGACCTTTGAAGTTGAGATGACCATATCTGAGATGCCATAGGAAGGATTGATCCAGATTTTCACTCTTGAATGCTACTTCACCATTTTGTGACATAGCAAGAGAGAAAATTCTGTTGGAAGTCATCGGGACTTTGGCCACCATGAAATTGTCTGCTTTGTTGATAATCTCGCATACGCCATTATCAAACAATAGCTTGTAATTTTTCAGCATCAGTTGTCCCACGCTAAGTAGATTGAGAGTTAGCTCCGGAACATACAAAACATCTCGAATGAGAGTTTTGTTGCCTTCTTCTGTGCATACAACAACTGTGCCTTTTCCTTCCACTTTTAGCTTCTTTCCGTCTCCCAACTTGACTTGAGAGCGGTATTTGTCATCGATGTCGGTGAAGGACTCCAGATCTCCAGTCATGTGGTTACTGCAACCACTATCCACCATCCAGGGAAGCTGTGATTTTTGCTCACCATTCAAGCATGATAAGGCCACCATATTGCTTTCTTCATTTTTGGTGCCGCTTGACTCGCCTTCTTCTTGCTTGTTCTGGAACCAGCAATCTCTCTGGGAGTGGTTTTGAATTCTGCACTTGGTGCACTTGAATCTGCAGTCTTTTGTTGCATGACCCGCCTTTTTGCAAATTATGCAACTCGAGCCGGTGTAGCTCGATCTTTGTTGTTGATAATTGTGCCGGTTGTTTCCTCTGTAATTGGATCTTCCTCTTCCTCTTCCTTGTGAGTTTCCCCCTCTCTGACCTTGCTCCGATTTGGCATATTCACTTTCCGTCATGTTGACTTTTGACGAGAAAGCTTGCTCCAATGGCGGTTTGGTGAATCGGCTCATTCTTTGCTCGTGTGCTACAAGTGAGCCCATCAACTCGCTCATTGATAAATTTGCCAAATCTTTGGTTTCTTCAATGACAGCAACAATATGCTCGAACTTTGATGATAAGCTCCGGAGAATTCTCTCCACGACCTTCCTCTCTTCCATGACGTCACCGGTGGCTTTGATCTGGTTGACTGTCTCCGCCACACGTGAATGTAAGTCTTTGATGGTGTCGGTTTCCTTCATCATCAAGTTTTCGAACTGGCGCCATAAACTTTGTCGCCTGATGGAGATCGCCTTTTCAGAACCTTGGAATTGTTCACGCAAGACATCCCAAGCTTCTTTGGCCTTTTTGATGCCATAGATTCTGGGGTAAATTGATTTGCTCACAGCTTGCTGAATGATTCTCAAGGCGCTGGCATTTTGCTTGGCATTCTCCTTGTACTCCTTTGTCTGCTTGCCTGCTCGTTTTTTCGAGTCTTCATCCTCGTCTTGTGGATCTTCATATCCTTCTTGGACGATATCCCACAGATCTTGAGAGATGAAAATTGGCTCCATTTGGGCACTCCAGTACTCGTACAATTCTCCATCAAAAATGGGAATTTGATTAGAGGAGGTAGCAAACGTGGTGTTTGATGAAGTTGTTGCCATGGCTTTTTGAGAGGATTTGTGTATGCTAGAAAGGTGGGGATTTTTGAGAGGATAGAAGGGTATTAGCTCTGATACCAAATTTGTTGGGGATTTGCGGAAGTAATGGTAATTTAGAATCAACACAAAGGAAATAATTGGTGTTTAATCACTCAATTTAGGAAGCACTCACATAAGCCTTATACTTTGGCTATAATTGTGAACTCTCAAATTGTAGAGAACACGACAACTCTTTGTTGCCACTCTCTTTTTCCAATTCCCTGACAACTTCCATCCCATACAACATATATATAATTGGAAATGGAAAAACATAATATTAATACATCACATGGCTTCTTCTTTCATTTGCCATGCAGAGACAACACACCACTCTCACCATTAACCACCAATAATGAACCTTGGCCCATGCATTCATTTGAGCACACTAGCCTTGTCTCTTATCTTGTCCATCTGCTATGAATGTTGATTGATAATTAACTTAATTATTTGGTGGTTGTGCCTTCTCTTCATTTCAACTTTTAAGGCTTCATTTGATAATTGATCCATCAATGAACTTAGACATACCATGTGAGGTGCTTAAGATAGACTTGATTGCAAATTATCAATCAACAAAGTGGCTTGCTTACTTTT